GGAAAAGCCACTGACTATCCTTTCAAAAGATAGATCTAAAGACTTCAAGCCGACACAACCCCATAAGAGTCCGTCCATATACGACTCGTTCTCAAATTTCACTTTCAGCTGTCCTATACGTGTATTGTGGGTACATACTGGTTGGAAGAACATCGAGTTGAGTTCCAAGTGAAAGTCATGATTATATGACATCGTGTTCATATTTTCCAACACAATTTTGGCAATCAATGGCAATGAAGGCGTGTATTCGTGTCCTTCAAATGAGTGGCTCTGAATTCTCAGAATGCACTGGCAGCAACCTTTGTTCAGCACAATAGGATTAGTCGCATCAAGACTGCCAACTTGTAAACAACCAATAACAATTCTCTTCATTGCAGATCTGAGTGCAAGAAAAGTAGATAAGTCTTTTAGACCTAATTCATTGACACCAATATAAAACTCGTGATGTTGATCGTATTCCTTTTTTGTATATGATCATGCAATTTGGAAACACTACCATGATATCAAGCAAAATATCTCTACAAAGAGCATAAAATCTATTTTGAGATGGTATTGCCATAATGTCATAGATCATTATTGCAAAAAAGGTTTGATTAGAGTTACTGGTTACATTCCTACACAATTGTGTAGAAAACGAAAAAAGAGGTCGATGAAAATACCTAACCTACTAAAACACTGTATCATATCTTACTAAGAAGTGCTCTTTAGTAACCATGTCGTAGTACATATACAATAACACCAATACCGACGTATGTTGATCATGTAAAATGGTTCAGCTCTGTGTTAAATACAGATAAAGACTCATCCATTTTACGAAAGAGATAAGTGCAGCTAGCTTATCACGTCTTCATCATGCAAGTACGCAAAATTGCATGATTCAAAAACATACTTAAAGATTCATTCAACGTGACGAAGAGAACATTGAAGAAATCTTTTTGCGATTAAAACAATCTAAATAATGTTGTAACTCCGAATTTGCAATCATTAACCATTATAGAAGCATGTTAAGAATTGATACTATTTTGTAAATGTCAAATTGATTGATAGAAATCTAAAATAGTTTTATCAGTGATATTTTAAAGCAAGAAAGACAAAAAATGATTTTCAGAAAACAGCATTGTACTCATCGCTGGAAATCATCTACTGTGATTTTTGTGTCGCAACGTATTTTAAAGTTTAGATTTGACATCTAGTATACTGCAATCCGTTTAAAAGATGTGTGCAAATGGATTATTGCACAAACATCACCGATCATTATTCACGATTTTAACAACCAATCTTATCATGTTGAATAAATATTCGTTCATTTGAGCCTTGTCTATGTTTGATCGATGACGATGTGAACCTGTGCTATCCATATTTTATCGATT